ATTGTCAAGCCCCTTGAAGAGTTTCCTGATATTGGGAAAACTGGCATTTGAGTTTTTAATCAAGTGGTTTTCCTTGAATACAGGAAGTGTCATGTAAATGAGTCATGAGATTCAGCAGAGAAGAAAGGCAAGGCTGCCTCCTGTGTGCTGCCTTCTCCCTGTGGTGTTTGGCAGTTGAACTTGATTTTGACCTGCAGGCATCTTCCCCAAATGCTTAAAATACTGGATGCTCATGAGTGGTTTAAGGGCTCCACCACAACCCAGCCTGGGCTTTAGGTACCGGTTTGCTGCTTGGTCTTGTTTAGTATACTGTGCATATAAGTATATGTGCATGTGCACAGGTGTTCACTTTTAAAAAGCACACCTAAATTCACAACTATTTGGTTGGTCTACCCCCACAATCATAATAAAATGGTTTTACGTATGTTCCATTTAAAAATGCATCTGAGAAAAGAATCAGATGTTCTGTCTGCATCTTCTGCTGCTCTAACAGTTGGCACCCAACACCAGCATCTACTCACTAGATCTTAGCCTAGCACAGGATGATCACATGTGACATCACAGAGATCACGACACTGCCTGAGCTCTTGCCAGTGGCTCTGCTTCCAGGGGCATTCGTGTTGGTGGCAGAATCGAGTTCCTTGGAGGTATAGGACTCCAGTCAAGTTTTCTTGCCACTTGTCAGCCAGATCTCACTCTCAGCAGCTTCTGGTGGCTGCGATGTCCTTTACATGTGTTTTTTTCCATCCTCAAGCCAGCAAAGGTAGAAAGGATCGTTCTGGTGATTCTGGTGTCTCTGATTTCCTCTTCTGAAGCCAGCCAGAGACAGCATTCTGCTTTTAAAGACCAGGAGCGGCTATGTTGGCCCATCAGATAATCTCCCTGCCTTTAAACAATTAGCAAAATCCCTTTTGCCGTATAAAGTAACATGGTCATCAGGACCAGCATAGAATTCTGCCTGGCTCACTTGTACTTACTCTCACAGATCTTCACACTCACATGGATTCAGTTTTTAGGTTGCATAGCAACATAACATTTGTAGCATTACACATGAATCACCATAATGCATTATATTTAAGTTAAATTGCATTTATTGTGAATTGACATAAAGATTTTTATGATGCTGCAAATTTATAAATAAGTCTATAAATGTTTCAGATAATGGAATATGTAAAATGACAAGTTTTTAAGGGCTACTGTAAGTAGTTATTTAGCTAGGAACTTATGATTCTTTGACAGTAGCATACCCCCTCAACACAGGGCTGTTAATCGTGGCCTTTTGTGCACTAATGAGACAATCACAGACTTTAAAGATAAAAGATGCCAAGGCTCATGTGCTCCCCTCTCCCTGCCCTTTTCATAGACAGCTAGCCCCAGACTCAGAGAGGGACTATGACTTAGAAGGCCACACAGCTAGCTAGTTAGTGGTCAGGACCAGTCCGAATGTGTTCCCTTCTTCCCTGTCTGGATCTTATACCGGTGCCTTGGTTGAAGGCTTGCTGTGTTTCGGGTACTCTTCCAGGTACTTTAGATGTGTGTTCTCTTTAGCGCTCACCAAAGTCCCGCCAGTTACGTCTTTTTATCTCACAATTTGAGAATAGGGTGTGACTTGCTCGGTGCCATCAGTAAGTTAAGAGTAGAGAAGCAGTTTGACACCAGAGCCTAACTGGTTTGAGGCTCCTGCTTCTTCCCAGGCCACCAGGCTACTTCTAAAGGGCCCTTTGCATCACCTCTACCCAGGCAGTTAGTTATGTTCTAACAATAAGTTAGTGAATAACAGAGAACGTGGAGTCTGGCAGCCGAGCACACATTCCGGTCCTGACACTCACTGTGTGCCTTCAGGGAATCTTGTGATCCGCTGGGCCTCTGCGCTTCGTCTGTACAAGTGGGAATTTTCAGACCTATGAAGAGATGATGTGAGTAAAGCGGTTGTGGACAGAAGGGTTGCGAGCTCTTTTTAAAATGTTGTTATTCTTAGCCAAGTGGGGTCTGGTTCCCATCACCCATTAACAGCGTATTTTCCAGTCACTTTTGCTCAATAGCATCAGATTAAAGAGAAGATAGATTTTGGAATTGCTGCGCTGTGTCCTGAGATCTTTAAGAATGAAGGTCCTTTATCCTTGGATAACCTCGGTTCCTCCATGCCATTCCCTTGTATATATCTAGATCCTCATCTAGATGCCGCTGAAGTGTGTCTCAAGTGATGGTAGTTGTTCCCCTGGGGCAGGTACTGAAAGGAAATGAACCTCGAAGCAGGAACTCAGCCCTCAGGTTAGCCTAACGTTTCGTGATTGCTGAGAAAAACCACAATACTGCTTTGTGATGTAGCTATTTGACGATCACTCTGAAATAAAATTATAAATCTCAGGGGCTGGGGAGAGGAGAGCAGAGTAGAGGGCTTGCTGCACAGTATGAGGATGGAATTTAAATCCTAAGCAGCCGTGGAAATGCGTGGCGGGCAGACGTGGGGCCCGCCTGTAATCCCGGCAGTCTGAAGAGTAGTCCATCATCACGCTCTGAGTTCAGCTGAGAGACCCTGCCTCAGTGAGTAAGATAGAATGCCGCTAAGGAAGGCCTGCGCTCAGCCTCAGGCTGCCACATGTATGCGCGTGTCTACCTCCACACACATGCCTTAGGTATCAAACGTGCACCGCACGCAGAGACTTGTGCACAGAGGTCATGAGTGTTAGATTGATGGATCCTCCATTCATCTCTGCCGCCTCATCGCTCTTTAACCACCCTTCCTGTGCATGTGTGCATTTGTTTTGTTTTCTATGCCATTTGAAAGTAAAATGCTAATAACAGAAGGTTTTGCATCCAAGTATTTGACATATATCTAATAGTCAGAAAATTCATTATAATACTTATTATAATCCACCTAAAAGTTTAGCAGCTTTCTCATCTAATATCCGATCTGTATTCATATTTCCCTACCTGTCTAAAAATTGCCTTTTAATGATTTTAACATTTAACAAAAATGATTTTGTTAAAAAAGACTTCTTATTTCATTTTGGTTTTACAGACAAGACAAAAACCCATACAACCAGGGTCACTGGCTAACATCTCCTTGCTGTATTTTAATCTACATTACCTTACTTACGCTTTTGTCACGGTGTTAACTTTTTAGGAGACTGGGCCAGTTCTCTTGAGCAATATCCCATATCAGGGTTTTGTCTGGATGCTTTGTTTGTATGTGCTATTTGTCTTGTGACTTTACCGTCTGTATTTTTGAAAACCAGAGACTTGATTAGAAACAGTGAGTACATTTTTGTCCAGAACAACTTGATAGGTGATTCTGTATGCTGCTGAATTCTATGACTTGATTATGATGGTGGTGGCTGTGTATCCCTTAGAAGTTATCTTTTTACTCCCCTAACAGAAGGAGTTTGTGGACTGATCACTTGGCTCATCCATGTTTTATCATGGTCTAACTTTTGATGGTAGCCTCCAGTGGCAAGCCATGCATTATCACTTATCCCACAGGAGGCTACAAATCTTTTCAATTTTTTAACTTTGTCTCTACTCAAGCGTTTCATGGGGAAGCAAACATCCACATCTTGGTGAGCAGAGTCATCGCGTCAGTAGCAGCAACATTTCTCTGATGAAGAGCTTTCTGGAATCATTGAGGAAGCCCTATGTTTTCTTATCATTTATCAGTACATGTTTGCTGCTCACCCACAATACAGCTTTTGTTTAGCTGTAAATCGGTCATGATGTGTATTTTGTGTCTACTCTAAAGCATTTTAATGTGTATCAAAACTGGAAATGGGTGAAATGTAAAGCAGTGTTTCAAAGTGGAGCAAATATAAGAAGTTTGGTGGAAAGAGTGTCATCCCGTCAGGAGCACCAGCAGCACTGAAAAGAACTTTCTAGTCCCAGCCGCTGGGAGAACGTGTCGCATGGCTGTTCATCTCCAAACGCTAATGGCTTTCGCAGCCAGTGTGAATAAAGTAGACCTGCCAAGAAGCAATGAGTGCAGCTGTGGTGCTATTCTCCCAGCTCCATATTCCAGTGCGCCGGGCTCCTCACAGCTGTGGTATTCTCCTCCCAGCTCCATATTCCAGTGTGCCGGGCTCCTCACAGCTTTGGCTCTTTCCTGGATACCCTACTTCCCAGCGCTCCTTCGGCCACGGCCCTTCCCTCTCCACACGTGGTCACTCCTGCTTTGCTCCTTTGTCCATGCACTTTCTCTTGCCCCAGACACGCTCTTCTTTTCTGGAGGCCCTGTTGGCCCTTCTTCCAAGCCCAGCTCCAGTGCTGCTCCCTCTCCGGAGCCCTAATCTCTCCAGCTAGATGCTTCGCTCAGTCCTGCCCCGCTTGTCTCCTTCCTCAGGGCTGCTCCTCTGGTGGCCTTCTGGGAGAAGACTCTACTAGGTGCAACCACCTTAGAGATGACCGTCCAAGGCCAAAAACTGAAGAGGTCCTTCACGTGACACTTCAGGAATTTTATATTACACAATCATTCTGGAAGTTACCAACAGAATCAAAACTGCCTTCAAATAGAGTTACCCCTTTTGTGTAGATTCCTTTACCTTTTCATAGCAGTTACCCTAAATTTTTTTTATAAAGTTAAAGCTAAAAATTGAGTATCCCTCACCATCTGGTTCTTTGTAAGCAATATGAAGGCCTGTTTCTTTAATTAAGACAAAAGAAATGGGCGAAAAGGTGAGCATAAATTAATTTTGCATTTAGAAGTTACAATGAAAAACAAGAGGCATAAATTGATATGGTAATTTAAGTATTGCAATGAAAACAAAGCGTATTTTATTATCCTCAGTTTGAACCTTTTTGTTTCTTATGTTAATGATTTGAACACTGTTTTAAGTGGAAATAAACAATGGAACTTTGTGCTGCTCACTCAGGGAGACACTGTTTAGAAGTGTTTAAAATACCTTTTCTCTGTGTCTCCTTAAGAACTCTGTCTCCGGGTGCTAGCCGGCCTGTTCTGTAGCCAGGCCTCGATGACAGACTGTGATGCCTTTGGATTTCTGTCTCCGCAGAAGCAGGAGGTAAAAAGCTACGGAGCACGGTCCAGAGAAGCACAGAAACCGGCCTGGCAGTGGAGATGAGGAACTGGATGACGCGGCAGGCCAGCCGGGAGTCCACGGACGGCAGCATGAACAGCTACAGCTCGGAAGGAAAGTGAGTGAGGCCTCGGCCATGCCTACTCACACAAGAGCTGGCTCACACAAGAACTAGCTCACACAAGAGCTGATTCACACAAGAACTGGCTCACACAAGAGCTGGTTCACACAAGAGCTGGTTCGCACAAGAACTGGCTCACACGAGAGCTGGCTCACATAAGAGCTGGTTCACACAAGAGCTGGTTCACACAAGAGCTGTCTCACACAAGAGCTGGTTCACACAAGAACTGGCTCACACAAGAGCTGGTTCACACAAGAGCTGGCTCACACAAGAGCTGGTTCACACAAGAGCTGGCTCACAGGATCGATTCCCAGGCCCTTTCCATCTAACCTGGCTGAGTCCTGAGAACTTGTTTCACCCTCCACTGAGCAATTGATGTATCAGGCTTTTTATTTTAAATGAAATAGCTTGGGGGAGATAAAGTGTTTTACTTTCATGACAAGATGCTACGATGTGACTCTCAATATTACCTACAGATAAAATAGTTTGTCCAAGCTTAAAATAATAAACAAAATCACAGAAATAATAAGCATACATGTCACACCATGTAGGCAATATTAGTTTTTAAAATCTTTAATCCCAGCACTCGGGAGGCAGAGCCAGAAGGATCTCTGTGAGTTTGAGGCCAGTCTGGGCTACAGAGTGAGATGCAGGACAGGTACCAAAACTACACAGAGAAACCCTGTCGGAAAAAAAAAAAAAATCTTCGATCTTGGGGCTGGAGAGATGGCTCAGAAGTTAAGAGTACTGATTGCCGCTCTTCCAAAGATTGGGTTTGATTCCCAGTGCCCACATACAGGCTCACAACTGTAACCACAGTTCTAGATCAGATGCCTCTTCTGGCCTCCTCGGGCACTGCATGCACACTATGCACAGACTTACATACAGGCAAAACACCCAGACACATAAAATAAAAGAATTAAAAAGTAATTTTTAATGTAAAAAAATCTTAGATCTGTTGAAGAGATGCTATTGAAAAATTTATGCACTGAAAGTTATATAATTTATCTTAATTATGTGAAACAATAATCAGAAGAAAATAGCAACAAGAAGTTGGTGAGCCTTTTTCTCTACGTAGCTTTTCTTTCAATCCACTACTATAAGACACTTGGAAAGGTTTGTAAGCATGGGGTGGCCCTGTCTCCAGAAAGCAGCTGTATTTAGTGACTTCTGATCGTACATGAGACCAAAGGTGTCAGGAGAGGAAAGCAAGGCTCAGGGCCTTGCTCTGTCATCGCCATGGAAGTGTTCCATGTTTAGACACGTGTAGCCAATTCAGACTCGAAGCCGTAGGAAATTTTTTTCTTACCGTTAATTACATACCCTGATGATATTTTGTTCAACGTCATTCTGTAAATAAAGGAGAGGTACATAATCCTGCAGTTTTTAAATAGGGGTGTATAAACAGGTTGAATTTTTGAAGTGAAGGGAAAGAAATAGATTTACTGATCGTTAAGAAAGTGTGAAGGAAGTGAAGAGCTGAGTCACAGGTGAGTGTGGCAGTGGTTCAGTCACAGGCATGTGACACGCTCCATACACTGGACAAAAGAAATGTGTTCTTTCTGAAAGGAAAGTGAAAATAAATGTGCTCTGAGCATGGTCTGTGTGAACATTGCATGGGCTATAAAAATGTTGACCGCATGGTCCCCACACACACGTTTATAGTCTAGTTAGAAAGCTGCCAGGGATATAAATGTTTCAAGGATGACTTCCACTTCAAATGTTTACCATCTTATTGGAGAAATAACTTGAATACTCATAAATTCATTCAACAAATATTCACAGCAAAGTCTGCTGTGAGTTGGGTGTGAGCCATACAAGAGAAGCAAATCAAAAGTTAAGACAGTGGGTTTAGGAATCATAAGATCCAAGATAGCAAGAGAAGACCAAAGTTCTCATCTTGATTTCTGGCACTCTAGATTTTTGGGTAAATTACTTCATTCTTCTAACATGAAGGTGAATCACTAAGGGTGCAGATATCCATTGTTTATAGGAATCTAGGCTATAAGAGCTGGAGTCTAGCACCAACAAGAGACAAAACTACCTCCACTCAAAGACAAGACAAACTTCATCAGAAACTTTAATTTATAAGGAAAACAATAGGGCTGGAGAGGTGGCTCAGCCATTCAAGGCTAGGCTCACAACCAAAAATAAGGAAAACAATAAAATACACAATAAATTGGATAGTGTAAGTGATGAGGGTGAAATAAGGCAAGAAAAATAAATGAGAGAGGTCAACTAAATAGTCCCATAAGACCTGATTTCAGGACCCTTTGTCTTTTATGTACATGGGCCATCTCTGAAGAAATAAACCCACTTACTTCCTTAGTTTTTAATTTTTATTACATTTTAGTATTTTTTTTTGTGTGTGTGTGTGTGTGTGTGTGTGTGTGTGTGTGTGTATGTGTGTGTGTTTAGGAGATTTCAGTTGGTCAGTTTAGAGTAAGTTAACTTTCAGATGCTCAATAGATATCCTGTTAGCCAACTATGCTGTGGGAATGAATGTGTGTAGCCCAGAAAAGAAGGGTAAGCTAGAGAGGCTCTTGGCTAGACAGCACCAACACAGACAGCACCAAGTTGGCTGGAACTTCCAAGGGAACTCAGACACATGGAAGAGATAATAGGGAAAAGGAGGAGTTTGGGTGTTTAATAGCAGAACGGGCAGAGATTAGAGCATAATGGCAGAAGAGAAGAGAAATCTTTGCAGGGAGCCAGCGTCTCCAGGAAGTGACTGGAAAAGGTTTCTCAGGGGAAAAGGAAGGATGGATTGTGTCGCTGTTCTGTTCACTTCGGTGAGGACAGAACAGTGTGACAGCGGCAGTTACTGCTGCCGTCATTGGCTGACACTGACCGCTGGCCACCGCAGTCATTGGCTGACACTGACCGCTG